TTTCTTGTTTTGTTACAAATTTACAATTGACTCAGTTTTATTCATATAGTTAGACACTTCTGATCTAACTCAGTTATTTTTACATTTGTAGCAGCTTTTAAAAGCATATTAAATAGAACAAAAGTATGGGCTGGTCAGACATCTGTGAAAATAGAAAATATGTAGCTCAGCAAGTTTTTGTTTTTCAAAGAGTAATAAATTTTAAATGAAAGAGTCAAGGTGTTCTTCAGTGTCAACCAAGGTTTTTGTTACAAAACAACAGAATGCTGATTTATGGCTTTCCACCTACCTTTTTTTTTTTTTTTTTTTTTTTTAGAATCATGTGGTTAAAAAGCAAAGTTACCTTTGCCCACGTGAGTAGTATTTACTTGCTTAATAATCTGTTTGAAGAAACTCTGCATCAATAAGAAAGGTTGAAAAGGTGCTTAAAATGAAAATTCAACAAAAAGCATACTTTTTTAAAAAATCTATAAAACAAACCCTATTTGGTAAACAATATCTTTTTAGGTAGTAGCATTTAGAATTTCTATTACTGACTTGTGTCTGTTGCAAAATAAGAAAACTGCAGAATTTGAACGCTGTATCAGAGGTAACTACTGCATTTTGACAGACTTAGAAACCTAAGAGCCTAACAAAATTCAAAGAATAGTTCATTAGGAATAAAGCCAGAATTATAGAAATCAAGATCTCAACATCTGTCTGCCTGCCAATTCTTCCATTGTACCTCACTGTCAATTTTGGGCCTTTCGAATTACTTTTGGCACTTGTCATTTTGGTCTCTACCATCTTTATCCTTTCACACATGTCAATGACACTTGCTCCAGATTATCTCACTTTTGCTGCCTGCATGATGCAAAAAATCCCTTTCCAATTGCTGAGCGCATCCCCAAAATTCATAAGGAAATTCTAAGGCTGAAAAGGGCTGTGCTCAGAATAGAAAGAAAATTACATAAATGTTCATGCAATACAACATACAACACAATAAAATGCAGTATCATACCTCCATGAAACTAATATAAAGTTTGTCTTATATGAGAAATGCAAAGAAATTAAGAGCAAACTAAAAGCTAGAAAATAGGGAAAATATATACACTATACATATGTTCTATAAATTTTAAAAATAGGTAGTCAGAAAACTGTTTCAGCATCATTTTAAAGCTAAAACAAAAAAAAAATAGCATGTTTTAATCATGTTTTAACCTTTAAAGGTTAAAACCAGAATTCATCTAAATTTGTAAATGACTTTTATCTTGCCTATTTCCATCAAAGATAAAAGAAACCATTTTTTTTACTCGGCATTTTTAGGTAAACCATGAGAATTTTACTTTTAGTTAAACTTCATAAATAATCTTAATCATCTTAAGTTTTCTTTTGGAGTTCCCTTTGGTCACTTTTCAGATTAAGTTCAATGCCAATTAAATATTCTGTGAAACTCATTTATATTGAAGATTATGAACTATATACTTAAAACTTTTAGAACAGAAAGCTACCTTCTACTTAGATAAAACAAACTAAACCTCTTTTTTTAATCCTACTATATAAACTACTTTTTTGCACTTTAAAGCAAAGAATAAAATAACCTCTAGATTTCTTCTATAAGACATCAGTCTTAAAATTGCCAATTGTTTTCCATAACAAAACATAGCTCTGAGTAAGACTGTCACCATGATCTTGATGTACAGAGAAACAATAACTTTTAGGCCATAAATTTTACTGGCTTAATTCACTGAAAAGCTGTGAAAGGTAAACACTTATTACTTGATATGAAACATAATGGCTGATCTAAGGCACTGCTCTGGTTTACATATACTATCCCTTCTAGGAGATGAGCATAATGTAGAACTTATCTAGCATTTTAAAAAAGTAAAGTACATTTTCATATTTTTAGATTTTATTATAATGAAAAATATATTATAAACTATCCTACATAAAGTCTTCCTGACACTCATATCCCCAGTGCCTTTGCTGTTAATGCATAAAGAGATACACAAGAGAATGGCAGAAATAGGATCCGACACTTGACAAGTTAGAAAGATGGATTCAATCTAATACAATGAATCTATTAAGATTAATTCCTCTATTCCTAATGCCTGAAACCTTTGTAGTAAATACCATGGAATTACTAGACAGCCATTTGGACCTAAGGAAAAGAAGTAGTGGGGAATCATGGAAAATACCACAAATTTAAGAGGGGTCGACTTTGGAAAAAAGATCTTTATAGCTGCTTGCATTGTGACTTTACTTTTGAGACTTCACTCAATTTTGGCAACCGTAAAGCTGGATGCAATTACTCAACAGACTCCAAGAAAAGACCTGGTCCCCTAACAGCCACACCTTCTTTCTCACATGTCTATCATATATGCAAGTCTAAGTGCTACTATGGTAGGCTTTTACAAATGTAATTAAAGTCCTAAATTAGTTGACTATAATGTAGAGAGATTTTTTTTTTTTTTTTTGTAACAGATGGACTTAACCTATTAGATGAGCCATTGAAAAGCAATGGGTTTCCCCTGGCAAAGAAAATATTAAGGATGACAAAGAAAATGTGTTGGAGTCTCCACTGTTGTCTCTGACGGTCTTGGAGGGAGCTATGTGGCAATAAATGTTAGTAGTTTCTAAGAGCTGAGTGGATCCTAGTTGACAGTCCTTATCTCTACAGTCTCAAAGAACTATATTATGCCACAACCATCAGAACTTAGAACATAAGCTCCTAAAGCAGTCCAGCCAACAACTTTCTTTCCGCCTTGGTTAAGACTCTAAACAAACAAGCCCAAGTCTTGCCATATTCATATCCTGAACTACAGAAATGCAAGATAATAAGTTGTGTTGTGTACAGTTGCTGGGTTTGTGGTAGTTTGTTACACAGGAAGTGCTCATATAAGCACCAACCATACAACTTATTTGTAGAAGAACAAAGAAAAGTTTATTGAAAGACCTAAATTCTTCTTCAAGAAATTATCTAGCATTGAGAATATCCAACAATAAAACCAAATAAAGCCACTATTAGATTAGGTCCAGGAGAGAAAGACAGAGCATAAGAAATTTTGGAGTTCATCAGCAATGGAGGCAATAACAAAAAAAAAGTCATAAAATATTAACATATTCCTGGCAAGAGAAGAAAATTTTACTACATTCAGCATTATTGTAAAAGTAGAGGAGAAATAAGGTTCTTTTAGTACTTTCTGGTATCTTCACATTAAGATTCAGTCTTATTCTGCGCACAGACTTCACAGATGCTTCAGCACTTATCTAGATCTTACAAGTTCAGAACTCATTTCAGCACATACTGAAATATTGTATCAGTAACAGAAAGAAAGTTTTCTAACCTGTATATGATGATATAAGTTTCTTTATCACACAGTAAAATACCTAACTATATTAAAGCAAAACTTTATTTTTACATAAAAGCTCTTAATATTTTCAAATTGATTTTATACAATCATGTTTTTAAAAATAAAGTATGTCTCTATGTGTATAAGGACCTCAAAAGGTCATACATGTGAGGCAGTTATACTAACAACAACAACAAAAAGAATTAACTGGTTCATGTTCTTGGAGCAAAATTTTACTTTCAAACCCTTGTAAAAAAATTATATATTAAATATCAATGAGCACCTAAATTAGTGGTCTCCTCTATTAAACCATGACTTGGGACCTGCCTCGCAAGCACAAGGTCTTGAGTTTGATCCCTGATACAAAAACAAAGGCCAGGCATGGTAGCCCATGCCTGTCATCACAGCACTCGGGAGGCTGAGGCAGGAGGATCGCTGTGAGTTTGAGACCAGCCTGGACTACACAGTGAGTTCCAGGTCAGTCTCAACTACAGAGTGAGACCCTGTCTCAAAAAACAAAAAATGAAATGAAACAAAAACCACCATGACTTGGGAAAAAAGTGATAGCAATAGTTTCAAAAGTTTTTTTGTACCTACACTATTTAACTTAATCGCACTAAGTAATTTCCTAGGAAAATATAGATGAAAATGTTAAAAACTTCTCAAGAAAAATAAATAAGATTAAACAGAAAAACGATCTTAAAACTTTTAATCCTCTACACAAACTAAAAGTTTGTGAAACAATGAGATGCTGAAGTCACAAAATAATTTCATTAATACTAACCCATAAGCAAAAATATACACACAAATATACATACATGTACACATATATGCATGTATATACATATGCATACACATATGCACACATATTTATAAAGCTTTTTTCTTCATTTATTTTTATATCCTTTGTAGGATACTTCTCTGGGAGGCCTTGAACTAACACAGTTCTTCCCCATTTTTCACTTGCAGTTCTCAAGCATTAAGGGAAGAACGTACTGGAATGCAATATCCTGAGACAGGGAGGGACAGGCTGGAACAGCCCAGGCTTGTTCCAGTCTTCTGTAGAAACAGGTATCTTTCTAATGCTTTTGCCCAGGGATTCTAGTTACCCCAGGGAACTGAGCCTAGGACAAGCTGCTTTCTAGGGACTCTAAAAGGCAATGTAAGTGGAGTACACACAGATAAGATGGAATTAATATAAGAAAATGAAAAATAATGGAAACAAAGTCTTTGTAGATAGGGAGGAAGTGAGGGGTTGAAGAGAAGGAAAAAGAATGGGGAAAAAATAAGAACCAAGACTGATTACATAAAGGTACACATTTCCAACAATGAATATCATTATATTGTATGCCTTAAAAGTACCAATAAAATGAATTTTAAAAAAGAGCTATTGAATAATTTCCACTAAGGAAAAAAAAAAAAAAGAATCTATCTGTCACAATTTTTCTGAACTGTAATGCACTGGCTCACCATAAATCCTAGCTTTCTGTTGTCCTGTTGCCTAACTGTAAAGTAATAAACCTACTGCATGTAATCAGTACACAGTGAATCTGTTTTACATCTCCCAGTATTTTCTAATGAAAACTTATTTAGAAAGTGATTTGTGGAAAAAAAAATCAATTGAGCCAGTTCTTTATTTTATAATACCTACAGTACCATCTTTCTTACCTTGTCTATCCTATCCGGGCGATTAGTAGCTGCCAAAATTGTCACATCCTTTAGCTGTTCAATCCCATCCATTTCTGTTAAGAGCTGAGCCAAAACACGGTCGGCCACATTTCCAGCACCTGAAGAACTGATTTTTTAAAGTACAATTTAAAAAAATTGTTTATCTATTCCTAAATCCTGAATTTACTATAACAATCAGCTTCTTATTCTACAATAAAAATTATGTCTATTTCAAATAATGATGTTTGACAAATCATCATGTTTGAATGATCATTTCAAAAAACTGTCACAGTCAAAAATAATTTCCTCTATCATCAAACATGTTGATTTTCTTTCCAATGCTGAAATGGTACCACACCAGAAAACAAGAGATCATTTAAAACTGTTCTTCAAATAAAGAAATTGTTTCAGTGAAATTTATATTCGTCATGACAAATATACTGTGAAAAATTGAGCTCTTACAGTCATTAAAAGGATAGTCAAAGAATATTAAGAGCTCTATGCTTATAAATTTGATAACACAGATGAAATGGACCAATTCTTTAATAAAAGCCACAATTTACCAAAACTTACACAAGAATAGACAAAGTGAATAGGCCTGCATATATTAAAGAAACTGAATCAATAATTACTATTTTTGCAAACAAAAAACAGCAAACCTAGGTGGGTTTACTGGTAAATTCAAGAAAACATTTAGTTAAGAAATTATACAAATTATATATGATCTTTTCTTGAAGATAGATGCAGAGAGAATAACTCACTCTATGAAGTCACATCAGTTTAATTCCAAAATGAGATAAAGATATCACAAAAAAATAAAATTATGAACAAACCAGTCTCTCCTACAGATAGATGCAATAATCCTCAATGAGATCAAAAATAATTTCCAACAACATATAAAAAGATATTACTAAATAGGATGCATCTAAGGTATACAATATTTGGAAGTCAATTAACATGTTCCCACCGGCTTGTACTACCCAAAGAGACTGTCTCTTGTCGTTGAATAGGATGGTCATACCATTACTACTACTACATTAAGGAAAACCAACTCTCAAGTAAATAGGGTTGCTAATCATAGAAATTCATTCTAGAAGTAATACTGGGTTTCTTAGGTGCAGTTGTGTGATCATGAGAATAAAATATAAATACTTTTTAAATTTAAAAAATGTTCCATTTTAATATAATATAAGCAGATATTAATAAAGAAAATACAGCCGATTTATGAAAAAAAAGTTTCATAACAAAAATGATTAGAGAATAACCATGGTAAATAAACTGTGTAGCATGATCTTAAAAAATATATTTTCACTTCTTAATCTCTCATTTCCAATATTATACATTGTTTGCATAAAAATTTTTTAAATATTGACAAAGGATCTCACATTCTGTATAATTTTGAACAATCTCTTCCTATTTCACAATATTTATTCTTCTTTTTGGTCCTTTTTTTCACTTTCAGTTTCTCACAGCACAGAGACAATGTGATATTCACACATAGTTCAATTTACTTCACTTAAGAGTATGTTCTCAAGATGCATCTGTTTACCCAGAAATATCTGAAGTTTATCCTTCTTTATGAAACAGTACTTCATCATATTTTTAAAAAACATTTTTTTTATCCATTTATCAGTTGATGGGCATTTAAGGTGTTTCTGAGATCTAGCTGTTGCAAACTGTACTGCTGTTTTAATTCTTTTGGAAAGATATTAGGAAAAGGAATAGCTGGGTCAAATGGGATCTCTAATCCTAATTTTTTGAGGAATCTCCACAGATTTCCAAACCAGATGCACCAGTGTACACTCCCTCCAACAGTGGAGAAGGGTCGCTTTTATCCCATAATTCTGCCAACATTTGTTGTTTATTGAATTCTTGGTAATAGCCAATCTTGCTGGAGATGAAATCTCAGCATTGTTTTAATTTGCATCTCTTGAATGAGCAGTGATTTTGAACATTTTTTCATATATTTATTTGCTGCTTCTACTTCTTCATCTGACAAGTGTGTATTTATCTCAGATGCCCATATTTGGATCTTTAAACTTGGGTGAGTTTTTATTAATTCTTTATATATTTTAGCTAATACTCCTTTGAAGAACTGCTAGCTAAAATGTTTTCCCACTCTGTGGGTTGACTTTTCGCTCTGGTGGTGATTTCTTTTGCTATGCAAAAGATTTTTAATAAGATGAGGTCGCAGTTGTTGATTCTTAGTAGTATTTGTGGTCTGGATTTTATTCATGAAGTCTTTGCCTACTCCTATGTCCTCAAGCATTCTACCTATTCTCTCTTCTAGCAGATTTAGTGTTTCTGTTTTAATATTTAGATCTTTGATTCATTCTGATTTTTGTTTAGTGCATGGTGATAGACATACATCTAATTTTAGTCTTCAGCATGTAGAAAGTCAGTTTTTCCAGCACCATTTATTTTTGTTGTTTCTGTTTTTTGATAGTAGGACATTTATTGGTACATTTTTGGCAAACATAACAATAACACTCATCATAGAAAATTCACACCTGGACATGGTACATCCTGTTTCTTTTTCCCATTCTCCTCTCCTCAAGCCCTCTTCCCTCCCTATGTATAAAAACTTTGTTTCCATTTTTTCCCTTCTTTCACTTTTTTTCTTGACTCTTCTTTTCTTCCTCTTTCCTCCCTTGTTCCCATTCCCATTCCCATTTGAAGATTTGCTTACCATTTTCCAGTATGTCATATATTTTTGTAATTTCCACTTTCAGTTTTTCAAACCAGAGAAGCAATGTGGTATTTAATAAACATGTGTCTGACTTATTTCGCTTAAGAGGTCCATCCATTTAGCTATAAATGTCTGAAGCTCATCTTTCTTTATGGCAGAGTAATACTCCATTGCATAAAAAAAACATATCTTCTTTATCCATTTGATGGGCATTTGGGCTGTTTACAAGATTTATTGGTTATAAACTATGCTGCTATAAATATGGTTGTGCATATATATATATATAT